GACTTTATTTCGAAATAAATTAGTCTCGTATTTTTCTTCGCGATAAAATGTAATAGATATTTTAAATTCAAAGCCTAGAAAAAAAATAAAAAAACATTATTTTTTTTATCTTTTATTCTTAACATCTTGCATCGAGTCTGTTGTGTTTTCCATGTCATTCCTGTTAATTTGAAGTATTATATATTTACTTATTATTATGATTCAATCGGAATGAATGAATACAAAATGTCGATAAATGTCGTGTCAGTGAATGTACCTCGTCCATGTAAAAAAAAAAAAAGAATGGCAGTTGTGCGCGCGTGCTGCGATGCGCGACTTGTGATTAGCGCGATAGCGCAAAATCTTTTGTTCGACGAACAAATACCTGCAATCACGGGAAAATGTTATTGAGAGACAGGCACATGCTATCGAGACAAATTGACACGGGTAGATTTGTGTTCGAAAAAAATTGTCGATTTTATCGCATTATCAAATACGTAAAAAATGTTTTAAAATATTTTAAGAAGACAATTTTTTTACCTAGGTGATTATAGCATCATTTTAGTAAAATAAATTTTAAGAATGATATTATTTATTTGTAGTTTGTAATAACAATAATTTCGTCCGTAATTAAAGCCATAAAAAATTTAGCGTTTTGAAAAAATAATGACCTTATTTTAAGATAAAATATCACTGATATCGTTTAAATTAAAATTGTAGTGACTTTTCTTTTATCTAAAAGCAAAAATTATAATATTTGCAATCGACAAATTCTATCTTTGTCAATTTTAAAGATATTTCTAAATCAATAATTGCAAATAATTTTGAAAAATATGTTGCAAACGAATTTGAGATATTTTTCAAAATGCTGTATTTTTTACGGTTTTGTTTACAAATGAAACTGTTACCACAAGATACGCACACAATAATTTTCTGTATTGAAAATTTAATTCATTAAAAGTAGAATGTCATTAAAAGTCATGTTCACATACGTTAATTTTTCATTGTAAAATGTTTTATGTGCCAAGGCGATAGCATTGCGAAACGCTAGCGGACACCATCCGCGAGAATATTTATGAAGCATAAAACAAGAAATAATTTTTCCTGCATGCCTCTTTTTATTTTCAAGTGTTTGCGCGCAGCAAGAGCTTTATCGCGAATTCGCTAAAATTTTGGAAAAATTACAATCTTACATATCGCGTATATAAATAATAAGCATCGGACATATAAATCGATGACAGTCGCATTGAACGACACACATTCTTGCCGATAAGAAATTTCACTTTGCCACATTGTGCAAGATAATCGAAATGTCACTTGCAGCGAGCGAGGAATGTGTGCTAATTCTGTCATCAACATTTATTGCGACATATATGTGTCCGCTTCCGCGAATTAATGTAAACCACGATCGGCTTAATTGCTGCATCAGATTCTCCGATGCACAAATCGTTAAGTATTACAATCGAATCCGATTGCTTCGGAGATCTTTCGTGCATTCTGCCTGCGCGTTAATGCCTACCCGTAGTCGAGGATGCGAATGGAAAAGACGAGTGGCGATTTTATTGTCTTTTTATGCGGAGGCTTTTTTATTCGCGAGACTTCCATTGTCGAGCGTGACAAAATACTACCTCGAGTAGCGCCTCGCTTCTGTCGGTCGAGAAAAAGGCTAGACGAATCGAGTAAACGAAGCGGATAATTACAATGTGACAATTGGATTCTCACGAGAAGAAATCGTCTTATGTCGCCAGGAAGGAAAAAGAGAACAAAAGAACCGAGAGTCGTAAAGCGAATCTGTTCACATCGCCTCTCGAGTAAGCTTTACGAACGAGCGTCAAATATTTTCGAGATACTTAGAAATTTCCGATAAAATATCGGTAATGATATCGTAGCCGATTTATCTCTGGGTCCGTCGTGGTTGCTTAATTAAAACTTCACGGCTATATAAGGCTCGGGCTTTTACAGGAGTACAATCGCTGCTTGTGATTCATCGAGCATTGCGTATATTTCTCTTTGTTACTTTTTTTTTTTCGTCTGCACGTTTCGATATCTTATTTCGGACATCGTCGTTCAAAGGGAGAAAAAAGGAGCTCTCGCGACCGAAAAACAAACTTCCCTTTGTTCCTTGCGAGCAAAACGGGAAACGCGGACGGGCATTTGAGAATCGCAGATTGCGCGTTATCTCGCCGGGGAATAATAGCCGCTTAATCAAACTTTCCCCGCCGAATCTGCAATTAAACCCGCTGATATATACGCCGGGGTCGTTCACGAGCGCGATAAACCCCGAGACCCTTGGCGCTCTTTTCGTTCAAGTAACTCTCATCGTCACGATTGCATCTCTCTTAAGCTCGCGCTACTCTTGCTTGATTAACCACTCGCGATCAGCGTAATTCCCCACGTTACGAAATATTGTCCACATTGTAGATATCGCTGCGACATGAATAAAGAAAAAAAAAAGAGCGATAAGGAAAATTGTTTGTCCAGAAAAAATTAATGCAACTTCTTATTAAAAAACGCTGGATTATTTTTGTCTTTTAGAAACAATTAATGCAACTTCTTATTAAAAAAAAACAAAATTAGATACGAGGGCACCGTTATACCTGATGGAAATCTGTAATTTCAGCGTGTGGAATTCCACGCACGAAGAAGTTTGCAACGATAATGTATGTTAAACAATGCGTACATGCTGGACTTCGCCCTGAAAAGATCAGCTGTAACGCGTTATTTAGAAATGCTATTGGTTTATGCATATAGATAACTATGATTAAGCGACACGTTGGTGCAATCTAAGAATAATCGCAGCTGCTCGACGCTTTTTTTGCTTTCGGCGAGACAAAATCGCGTACATTCTATTGAATTAACGATAGCAACGTTCCATTACACAGAAATGACACATTTTTTGCATGTTTTAGGAACGCGATCGTTGTTAACTGTCAAGAAATCAATTGCTGCGAATTATGTCGTGTAAATACCACTAGCTATAGTGTATTATTTTCAATTAACGCAAGACAAGATCTTTCTAAAGCACGACGACGTAAGAATCTTTAATAATGGAATAATAACGAGCCAATTTATGTCTTAATAAGTTTATCACGACTGATAATATATTCAACATAACAGCATAAGTGATAAGGAGATAATAATATGCATAGTGAATTTCCTCCCTTTGAGATCTTCTTTTATAGAAGAACAAAAGTGTGATAAAAACGAAATAAATTTAACGATAAACATAATAATGCATGTTTCTTGTCGCATCTAAATTTGCAGTAAATTTGTTTGTGAGTCAACGTTAAAGATTTCACACTTTTAAGATTTCATTCATGTTCAAACGGCTCACATTTTTCAGTTTTCTAGATATGGATCCTTGCGTAACATCGTCCGATTACTATTTTCCTGCGCGATAAACTTATATCATTTTCCGGGAGGCCATTAATCTCTCGAGATTACACATTATTAATGGGAGATTGTCAAGTTGGACAAAGAGTCGAATCACCGGAGGAAAGAAAATTCTTCGAAAAGTCGCGATATGCAACAATATCGCCGAGGGTAACAGACTTCTCTCGTTCTAATTACGCTCGCGAACCGTGGAATAATATGAGCGATTATATAAACCGTTAATTCTAATCCACGCGCTTCCGTTTGCCCGTTCTTTCGTTCGCCTCTAATTCGCACGAAAAAGAAAGGAGGTGGAAAAGATTACCTTAACCGTAGGCGACTCATTACGGTAACTAATAACGCGAAGCGTTTTCGGCCACGCTTGCGGATTTTCCGTCTTGTTCTAATTTTTAAAGCAATTTTTCTTTTTCAAAAAACTCCATGTATTCTCGTTTTCCGAAACGAGATAATACACAGGGTGTCAGGGCGATCTCTTCCCAAAAAAGTTCCTGCAGCTTACCTCGAGAGCTTTTCAAAACACTATAATAGAGTATTTTTTCATCGAGTACTTTTCGAGTTACGAGGCTTGAAATAATTTCTTAATTTTTACATAAACCATAAAATATCTAGAAAAAAAATGTAACTGTTAATTGCAAATTAGATATTTTTTCTTCGAAACAATTATGTGTTTTCTTTACACCAATTGATTCATTCATCATTATTTCATCATTATTTCATCATTATTTCATCATTATTTTGTACATAAAAATTTTAAGATAAGATAATTGAAAAATATTTTAGGATAAGATAATTGAAAAATATTTTACTAGATATTTTATGATTTATGTAAAATTAAGAGATTATTTCAAGCTTTACAACTCGAAAAGTACTCAATAAAAGAAATACTTTATTGTAGAGTTTTGAAAAGCTCTCGAGGTAAGCTTTTTTGGGGGAGAGATTGTCCCGGCATCCTGTATATAATTCGACCTATATAAACAAGAACAGAATATAAAGAACGATAAATACCCAATGTAAATAAATGATAAGAATAGAATACAAATGGATTACTTTTGTAAATATGATTTGTAATGTAAATTAAGCGGGAATTAACACCGCTGTAGCGTGAAATTAAATTCGTTTTGCAAAGCAACGCGCCCGAGGGTCCTTTTTTTTGGGGAACAATGCAGAATTATCATTCGGATCGCTCAGAATGAACGAGCCGTTTTGTGAATCCCGGATGAAACCGATCGCGCTTTTGTGGCTTACACGAGTAAATCGCGCGATTCTGCGTGCTCGTACACCACTCGCGTGATGTAACGCCGTAAAATCCCGCGAATTTGTTTATTCTTCTCTCTTGTTGGCTCAAGAGACTTGGCGAGGTCGACACGCGGAATCTTGTGTGCGCGAGCTAACCTTGCTAAGGACGCACAGTTTGCTCGTCGTATTAACAGGAATCTGCTCGCTAATTCAATTTTTCCGGCGAGACATTTTTGTTATGTAACACAGATTACATTAAGAAACTAGATGAAACGTCAAAAATCGCGATAATTTAACTAACATTGCTAATGACTATTAACGCGTGACCGGAAAATTCTTGCTTTATACGTTGATCAAGAGGACCTTGTACATATATATACCATCGTAATTACATAAATTCTCTGTCTATCTTGCGTCTGTCGCGCACAAGTGGTACACATAGCGATCGGAGCACAATTGAACGAAGCCACCTAGACACGATCACTATTGTCACAACTTACTACAATCACCAAGCGTCGTAAAGAGACTTGAAATTTCCACGCGAGGAATCCTCGGCAAGCATACAACACTTTTCCCGATATCTCCTTCGTCGAGCTGCTACGCCACGATCACATTATCGCTCTCCCGCTGATAAAGAACTTCGGGCGTGATCGCGGCTCTTCGCGAGGGTCCAAGGACCCGAGGGACTCGCGGAACGAGTCTGCCGAAAAACGCGGCGGAGAGAGGAGGAGAGGAGGAAAAGAGGGACAGAGAAAGAGAGAGAGAGAGAGAGAGAAAGAAGGAAAAAAAACGGAGCACACGGCGTGGCAACCAGCACTCGTGACACGCGGCGTGACGCACTGAGATGCGGTGCGCGCTCCTGTCGCTCGGTTCGTCTCGGCTCGGCTCGGCTCGGCTCTGTCTCTCCATCCGGTCGGCGAGATACGACGCGACTCGCCCGCTCGCTCGCTCGCTCGCTTGCACGCGCGACGACGACGACGCGACCGGACTGCCGCTCCGCGACGCCGGCAGCCGGCGAAAGCGAGCCGCGGCGGCGGCGACGACGGCGGCGGCGGCCGACGTTCGTGACTCACGAAGCAACCAGCCAGCCGTTCCAAGCGCGCCTACTACCGTACATACGACGAGCCCTGGTGTGTAAGTGCCGATAGCAGGGCCGTGCGTGCCGCTCACGCCGCCCGACTCGTCTCCCTCGTCCAAGATTGAGGGCAGAATTGAAGAGACTCGGTGGAAGTTGTATAATTTTGTCGTAAGACTCCGGTTTTTTTTTAGACAGATAAATGATACCAAAATTTAGAGTAATTTATGAATTCCTTTTTAGAGAGGATTTTAGGTATCTTGAATATATTTTATTATCCTTCCTTTTGGGAATAAAACATGAGATGGTTATAATTGGCTATAATTTTTTGATATAAAAAGTTGCAATGGTTAGATAATAAACTGAGCTAATTTTGCTCTAATATTCCAAGTGAGTTGATACTTTGAGTTGTAGCAAGCGTTATCTCGCGTTTTATATCTCTGAGTGTGCCTCGAGATATTTATGATGCATCGACTGTTTTAATGAATTCCTACATGTTTTAGAACAGAAATATCGACATTACGCATAAATGCGATCTTGTCCCATTATAATTCTAGATTTTGAAATCCACTTTGCAAATCAGGAAATAAACATCTATCTTAACCAAATCACTCGATCGTCAACTTCAACAACCGCGGTTGGCGGAGAAACGCAAGGGAGAAAATTCTGCGTCGAAAAATTCATCACCTTCCGCGCGTTCGATTTTTCCCGTCAGCTGCATCTGCGATGCAACAAGGTGCAACGATCGCGCGTAAAAAGATCGAAAACCGGAGCGAGGGGAGAACCGCGCGCGCGCGCGAATCACCTTCTCGCGATCGCTCGAGGATTCGCTCGAGATCGTTCCCGTGAGTAAGTCTCCCCTTGTCTGGATCGACGAACACTTACTGGCTGACCTCGGGCCCGAAGTCTGGCGGAAGACTGATCGCCCGAGAGCTGGGAACTTCTTCGGGCCCCGCTCGCGTTATCCCGGCAGTTGTGCGATCGCGACCTTCGTACTCCCCCGCTCTGGGACCGATCGATCGGAACGGGAGCCGATCGGAACGGGAGCCGATCGTGAAACGAATCGCCGATTCACGGATAACGGAGAATTTAAAAAAAAAATGGAATAACTGCGACGTACATATTTTTTTCTCGTTATTGTTACATCACGCAGTTTTGCGCTCGGTCAATTTTAATCCCTTAATTATTTTCAAGTATCCGCGCGGAAAGCTTGTGATAATCTCTAAAAGAGGCTCGAGAATTCTTGGCGAGTAAATTCGAGATAAGTAGGACTTTCGAATTAGGAAGGACAGGTATCGAAAATGTGTATTGCCTTTAATTATAAAACAATAAATTAATGGATTCTTTTATTCTTTTTTGTCCAAGGATGTGATGATATATATATATATATATATATATATATATATATATATATATAAATCACACGATAATTTAACACTAGATAGAATGTATGTATATATATATATATATATATATATATATATATATATATATATACATTCTATCTAGTGTTAAATTATCGTGTGATTTTTTTTTTCGCAAGCCTTGGACGTTTTTGCTCCGATCACTAAATCCGGTAAAAGTTCGATGACATAAAGATTATAGATGGACGTGGGACGAATCGATCTTAGATTAAGAAACCGTTGAAACGCAAGGAGGTGTAACTATTTGGATGGATCTGTTCGTTACGCTTAGAAAGGTACGAAGAAAGAAATAACGTTTCTCTTTTCGATTTTATCGATGATCTTGAAATTGAAGATCAACGATTCCACCGAGCACACCGAAAAAAATAAGTGTCAAATCGAAACTTATATACTTAAACTAACGTGTTCATTGTTTCGTATATACGCAACAATTTGTAATCTTCTTAGAAGAATTTTAAATTTCAACAATTTTATAGTCTTATTTTAATATTGTAATTGTCATCTCAAGAATATATAATTATTTAATTCTATTTTAAGAAAATTATAATCTTTGATTTAAAAATGTTATTTTCTATCCAACATTGTTTCTTTTCCATTCAAGAAAATTAAATCTTAAATCATAATATATTTTTCCTGATGAACTATATAAAATGACTTCTTAGCAATTATATTTGTCTTTAATTAACGCAATAAAATCTCATTTCAAGATTACATTTCAAGATTATGTTAAAACTAAATATATTTTCAAAATAAGAATGTCCTTTTTTTCGGTGCAGTACGAATATAAATAAATGTAGGAACGAATAACTGTAAAAATTGATTTGATCAGCTGATTCATCCGTGGTAGCGAATTTTTATCTCAGGACAACAGGACGAGCGTTTAATGTTGAACACGATGTTCGTCACGTTGATCTAGTTGTTTTTAAAATCCAGGAGCTAATTTAGTCCTTTTTCTGGAAGCTGATTAGAGGAAAAGGCGCGCCGAGCGGTTCCTCTTGGGCGATTTCACGGGTAAATATACGATAAGATTCTCCAGGAAGCTGGCAACTCGAGATTCGCTGAACCGTGGAAAAGGCAGGCAGAAGCGGAAACATACGGTTACAAGGATTATGCCGTTCTCGTTTTTTATTACTTTTCTCACAGAGATGGACCACCCGTGGTATGCGCGTTGATTAGCTTCTCTCATCTCGAAGAAGGATTCAGAAGAGGCAGAGGCTAATACCCTCGATTCGCGGAGGTAATTTTTTTCCTAGCGTCGATGGATTTATGTTATTTTTCTCTTTTTATCTTTGTTTTCCTTTTATATATAATTTTTTCAATAATGTTTACTCAACAGATTCGCTTTTAGAGCAGAAACTGTCGAGAGAAAGCGCAGTAAATTTTTACATAATCGGAGATAACAGTCAGTTTCAAGGAAGTTTCTGGAGTTGATCGGATCTATAGTTTGTTGATTTCGTTTTATACTACAATTTTGAATTATTCCGAATGTCGCGTTTACTCACAGGAGGATTAATTGCGCGGCTTATATGAAATTCGCGGTGCGGGTTCCAGCTATTGTAAGGGATTTTATCGGGGCCACCGTGACTAAGGCCGAAATAATTGGAGCGCGAAATTCGCGTGTTTTTCCAAACGCCGATATCGCTTTTCAAAGACGCGGCCGAAAACACCTGCAGTTTTCTCCGAGAAACAGCTGTAGCAAAATATTATAAATACGAACAGTAGCGTATCGCGCACGATATCTAGCGAAATGTGTACACGTGGGCAACTGAGATAAAAAATAAAAATTTAAAGAGGCAAATAAGATAAGAGAATGTAGATAAGATACAAATACAAGCCTAGCTACAGGTACATCTCGTGCATAGCGAGCGTATTTTTTTTTTTTACAAGTACATCTGTTCACGCTTCGAGCTGAACTCAATTCCTTTAATAATGATTCGCTCGGCAGATTGCAGGCGAAGCGTTAACGTCGACGTACCTCTCTCTATATCTCCCATTTCTACAATCTCCCAGATCAGTCTATAGAATCAGGGGGATCTCTCGTGAAGCTATACACGACAAATGGCGGAGTCGAGTGATACGCAGGTATCGGTAACTGGCGCATAGCTGTTCTCGGTTTATACAAGTCGTTTCCTTGAAAAGAGATGTAAATTGAAGAGAGTTCAAAGACTCAATTCAAATAACTGTATTAACAGACCTAGTTTAGGAAGTCGTTCAGGTGAATCGACGGAGACACATCGAAATATGATGTTTCACAGACCTGCAAGATATAAGAGATCACAGATCGAAGATATTATCGAATCGAAATGGATGTCTTTGTAGACCCGTAGGTTCAGATTGCTACCTAGATTGCTACCTGGCTGGGAATCACATCGATAATTGAGTTTTTGAACGGTAAATGGAGTTTTTTTTTGCAATCATCATCGGCTGCGACGCCAATGATATCGCTCGGGAATCAACCGGCCATCGAATCGTGAGAACAATTATTGCGCGATATCGTTCGCGGTACAAAGGATCGCGTGAGATTTCTCCGGCGTTGCCTCCTCCTTTTCGACTTCCGTTCGCGTACGGCAAACGAGTTTTACATTCCGGCGCGTCCAAAGGGTTTCACGCGGCGCGATTATCTCCGTCTCGGGCCGAGTATCGAGTTTGCGTCGCCTAGCGAATCGCAGGAAAGAGAGAAGGAAAAGAGGACGAAAAAAAAAAAAAGAGTTCCGGCTGAATAGACATGTTAATAATACATCGAGATTCCCCGAAGGCTGTTTAAAAATGTTTTAAAAAATAATAAAATCATCTTTGCACCTTGCGCCCCTCAACATTTATTATATAATTCATATAGCGATTTCATAAGAGGGAAAAAAATTTCGTCGACGCTCATGCTTTCTTAATGGCAAGCAAACCGCTGATGACAGGCTTCGCCGCTTATGGCAATGCCGTTTGCCGACAGATGGCGGCACTAACTTAGCTAATGAATGCACTATGTCATTAAAGAGACGCGATTAAAATGCATGCGGACAATTGTATACTGCGTAATTCGTGTCATCTGCTTGTTATATAATACTAATACTAATAATACTAATTATTCGATCAAATTTTATTCCATTATTCTAATTTTATTTGCAAATGTTTTAAATAACTTAATAATTTAATAATTTTTTATATTGGATATCTATAGTAGAATGAGTTAAATCGAAGAAAGTCCTCTATTGTTTCGCAATAATTAATGCACAATTTTTGCAATAATTAATGAAAAATTAATTTAAGAAAATCAGTTAACCTGCACAAGTATAAGTAGCAAAAAAGACAGCTTATTATTTTACATTTATTAGTCTCGTGGCAAAGCGTTGGGATTAATAATTAAACATGTAATTGTATTGTGTACTAGTGGAATGTCTTTTTGTCGCACATTATATTGATCAATTTTTTTAAAAATTAATGTCCCATTA